CAGGAGGTTATCTAATCCCAAGTGGGCAGCCCTAAACATATGAGCACCACTAAATGGACTCAGTCCATTATATATATGGAAGAAGTTGGAGAGGGACTTGGAGGGATGGAAATAATTCAAGTACAATACTCATGTATGAAATTCTCAAAAATAAATTTTTAAAAAGGTAACTACTTGTGATAGTTAATTCTTATTGACAACTTGACTGAATTTAGAATCACCCAGGAAATATGCCTCTGGTCATGTCTGTGAGGGTTTATCTAGAGATGTTTAACAGAAAAAAAAAAAAAAAGGCATACTCTTAATGGACATATCAGCATCCCATGGGCTAAGGTGCCAGACTGAATAAAAAGGAAAAAAAAGGGAGAAAGAGAGCTGAGCAGTGGCATTCATCTGTCTCTGTTCTTGACAATATAACCAGACACCTCACATTCTTACCACTATGCCTTCCCCACCATGATGGATGATATACTCAAACCATGAACCAGAACAAACCCTTCCTCCCTTAAGTTGCTTCTTGTCGTGTATTTTTATCACAGCAGTGAATAAAGGAACTAACATACTACCTACAACATAGCTCAGATCCATTACCTCCTACCTAAAATGTCCCCCTGTAGAGTAAGATCTAAAAGCCCTTAGCATGGTACAGGCCACAAACATTCTAGATCCAACTTTACACTCATTTTCCATCATTATTCCCCTCTTTCTCTCTTTCTCTCTCTCTCTCTCTCTCTCTCTCTCTCTCTCTCTCTCTCTCTCTCTCTCTCTCTCTCTCCCCATCTCTCTCCCCCATCTCTGTCATACACACACACACACACATACACACACACAAACTGTAATATCTACCATACTTTCCTCCACTCCACAAAACACCAGATGTACCCACAACTCTGTGCACTTGTGTTTGCTAAGAATCCCTACATTGCCACCTTATAACACAAACGAATACAGAACACAAGTGCTTCCTCCTCCCAGTGCCTTCCCTGACTCTCTCTGGGAGGCTTGGCTCTTGCCCACTGTTTTCTTATGTGACAGCCTATGGTATTCTTCCTCTAGACTGAATTGCTCCGTGCTGGGCTCTGGGACCTCTCATCAAGCACAGTACCTGGCACTTGGTGTTCACTCTCAAAGTTTTTTGAAGAAATAAACAAGGGTGTAAATAAACAAATCAGCTTTTGATGACCTTGTTTGCCTTATGCCTTCAATGTAATCATGTTTTCAACAATTTGTAATCAATTATAATTTTCTCTTGAAAGAATTTCAAAGGCAATGAATTTGATAGTCTATTATCTTGTAGGTTTTTATATGAGTTGCCTAAAGCAAAACTACAATGTATGATGTAGAATCTTTTCTGAAAGACTTGGCTGCAGCTCAGTGTTACTCAGTGTTAGCACTCAAATACGTTTTCCTTAAAGAGCCCTTTGAACAACATTATGCTTATAAGACACCAAACACCAAATTAATATTAATGATAATAACAATAATAATTTCATTTTAAGTAATCGATTGATGTCAAGAAATAACTAAACCAGCTGGCATGCAGTCAGAATTTTATATTTTTCATCAGAAAAACAATTCACTACCAACGACAAATAACCAGTAGAGCCACTAAAACTACCTGTCATATGTCTAATGAAGACAGATTCTCTGGCTACTACACATAATCTGTAATATCCTAAAGTGCTGCTGTAATTCACAGCTAATTAGTGTCTTGCCGTTATGAGAGGTGTCATGCCCCAAACTCTCTTTTCTGATCTCCTCAGACCTCACAAGAGCGACAACCATGCAAAGATCACAACAATCCAATTAGCACCCACCCCAACCTTAGGCTTGCTGCCTCTTGGCGCTTCCTCAGCACCAATAAATCATGTTCTCTCATGAAGCTCTTCTTTGACAGCTGCAAGCCACTGCTGCCCAAGACAATACTTGGAAGGAAAACTCATGTGGGAAAGACAGAGATAGAAAAAGGACTTTGTTTGCTGTCCTTTAATGGCACAGCAGTCAGCAAAACTGAAGACCATCAATTCTGACTAAGGAGACAACTGCATCAAGAAATAAATCTATGAGTGTTAGATCTGAAAATCCTTGGTAATAATCAACAGTCAGCAACTGAATTCTTTGCTTATTTGTTTGTTTAATATGGATCTATTGAGCACCTTTTTTCTTTGCATTTTTTCCCTTGCACAGCCTTCATTCTGCCTAATATGAAAAATTCCCTTTCAGTAGAAAATAATCAGATGCATTTACTTTATCCTCCTGTGAATACACAGCAATCAGATAATTTGTTTGAAAGACTCTAAATTGTTTGAGTTCATTGAAAAAGAATCCATAATGATACGCTGGTCTCCAAGCAAGTTCTACAAAGCTTCCTAAATCCATAAGCGAGCTCTAGAGTATTCACAACCCATAGCAGCCAATATCCTTGTCATTTTGTTCTAAGCCTGTAAAGCTCTTTTATTCCCCAATATTTCATGTAGAAAGCATTCTGAACAGTAACTGTAACCTGAGTGTTATTCAAAGATATTAGTCAGATGATGGAAATAGCCTTCTTCTATGTAGCTTTCCTTTATTATTGAATTTTTGCAAATTTCATACATTGTTTTGATTGCATTTGGATCCCCTCCCCTATCTGCTCCCCTTATTACCTCTGCGAAATTTCTTGTACTCTATTACATATGTACCAAAGCCTATAGAGTCAAATTTGTATCCCCAAAAGTCCCTCAGTATGAATTCATCCACTGAAGGCTGATTAACCTGCCAATAGTCTCATCCTTAAAAGAGATGGACTCTCCCCTTCCCAGCAGCCATCAGTTGCCAATAATTCCTCAGGTAGGGTTGGGGCTCCTTACCTGCTTTCCCACACCTATGCTAAGATTTTAATCTAGTGCTTGGCAAAATAACTATCACCAAATTTGATATATAAATATTGAAAAAGAGAAATAAACAATTATGAATGCATTTAAACAAGGAATGCTCATATCTTTTTATTAAGCATATATATTTCAAAAAGATTTCATTTTCCTCCTCTGAAAACAGTATTTTCAAGGAAATATTCAGATATTTATCTACAAGGATGCCACAGTATCATGTTTTATAATATCAAATTAAAAATGAGACTAAAACATATTAAATATAAAATAGATCAAATAAAATGATATATTCACACAAATGGAAAGTTATATAACTTCTAAAAACAATAATATAGACACATACTGAAATGCATGTAAAAACATTCACAGAACACTGTAAAACAGAGATAAGACAGATGGAATTTGGCTTCAGATCACACATATATAATTATGTGTGCACATATTTGTGCTACAAACTTATGTACACATAGGCATACAATTCATTGGTTGCAAGATACTCTATTTTGTTTCCTGTGTATGAAGGTGTGAGTGCAGTATATATACGTGTGTGTGTGTGTGTGTGTGTGTGTGTGTGTGTGTGGTGTCTGTCTGTATACATACATAAATACAAGTCAAGTAGTCAAGTATAGAAAAAGTCAGAAAAGTTATTTCAGTATTAGACATGTATCTCCAGAAAATAATATTCTAAATTATTCTACTTTAGGTCATTTTGCTTATATCATTTTTTCATAACCAAAAGAAAGGTTGTATGTAACATATTCCTATCACTTGGATTTACATGGGTATGTTAGTCCCAACCTGGTAGGGTATCTCTCCTGAGTGACTAATCCCAACATTCAATAACACTCTTTGACCTTGGAGGTTAGCAACATTTCAAAAATTAGGGACCACTTTACTTAGGCATATCTCAAGAATGGGAATCAGAACATCATTTTCATCCTCTAATCCATGGAGGTAGGCAGGAGCGAGGTGTCTATGTGATTCCGGAATACCATACTGATTCAGTGCCAGAATCGTCAGGAATAAACCATAGATCCTCCACAAAGCCCCCATCTGCAGCAGTGTCCTTGATACCCTCCAGAGCCAACCTGACATTTGGCAGCACAAAGTTTGTGGAAGGATAACAGGTGCAAAATATCTACACCCTGATCAGACTTCAGGTCAAAAGTCCTAACACATGTGCGTTCACTGTACTGTGAAGGCCACCTGACTTCTAGCACAGTAAGCCATGAAATACACAGATCTTGGTTAACTTACTACAGGGAACAAGAAATTAAGAGAAGCAAAGTCTCTTCTCCCCAGAAGGTTTACAGATAGTCAGGAAACCCAGCACTTGCTTGATGCAAACAGAAAAGCTTACAGGGTACTCTCAGAGAACTAGACAAGGCAAGAAGAGAGTCTCACACCTGGCGATGGAGTGGTGTGGCAACTTTGCAAAAGGACACTGCAGCACTGCAACTAGGCCTGCAACACAGAATTGTGAGAGTACAAGCAAAAGCGTAGCTCTAAAGACGTCCCTTAAGTCCTTAAGGTTCTGTTTTCTTAGGGCATTATACCCATGCATTTCGCCTTGGAGTGAAAAACTACATTTGACCAAACTATGCATGTAAAAAGTTAATTAAACACATTTTCTTTCAGCATTTCAACTTGTTTTCTATGTACCAGATAAAGACAAGTGAAATATGGGGGGGAAGGGAGAAAACCAGGAGGATGAGGAGGAGGAAGAGGAGTACAGGAACAAGGACCAGGACAAGAACGAGGAGAAAAGGGAACAGAAGGAGGCTTCGTTTTGACAAGGCCAATTTGGAAAACATAATTCTGGCTCCTTCTTTATCATCTCTCTAAAAGGACGCTAGATACTGCAGAAGCGAGAAAACGTAGCCAGACCTCTGAGCCCTGGGTCACATCTAGGGCTCATATATTGGAAATTGTTTGTAGAAACTTCTAGCCATAGGGTTTTGGATCTAATTTTTATATTACTCCTGAAGAGTTCCATGGATTTAATTTTGGTTCCTCTATGAAAAAAAGAAACCCAGTAAACTTAAAATTGATCCATCCATGTGCGCATAGCAAGTTCACGACTACAAATTCTCAAAATCATATTCCAATGGCACAAAACAGTGAACATACCTGAAAGGGAGAAATCTCCCTTCTGGCTTTCACTTTCTCGGATTAGAAAGGCACCTGTCTGATTTTCTGAATACAGTAGTTGCTTTTCTGCATCTGCTCTTTTGACTGCTCCAAAGAACCACCTAAAAAGAGAGGAAAAACCTCAATTAACCAATTAGCATTCATTTTGAAAAACGCAAGAAGCTTTGTAAGAATGCATTTTAACATCAGAAATATTTGATATTCTTCAGCAAAATTATCATAGATATGGATGGTAGCTTTGGATATTTGAGATGATTTTTCAGGATGTCAGTAACCCACACCAGGATTCATGAAAAAAAGTTGCAAAGCAGAAATTTCCCTTTCTCACCCTGAATGCCTTCTAAGATTGTGTGCCTATGTAGGCTTTACCAGGTAAGGCTGCATGTTCCAGAATCCAAAATCACTCATCACTGTCAAACTGTCCACCACCTGAACTAATATTCTCACATGGTAGGAGGCAAATATTCCAATTACAGGATTCACATGCTTTCCAGTAAGGTGTAAGCAATTAAAAGTATTTCCTCAGAGCTGGAAAGATGGCACAGCAGTTAAGAGCACTGGCTGCTCTTGCAGGGGACCCAGTTTCCATTCCCCAGCACCCAGATGGTGGCTAACAACCATCTGTAACCCTAGCTCCAGGTGAATCTAACGCCCTCTTTTGACCTCCATGGGCACTGCACGACATGGGTGCACTTACACACATGTAGGCAATACTCTCATACACATAAAAAAGTAATAACGATGAGAATATTTTAAACGTTCCCACTAGATATTGTTTTTCCTATCCCACCTCTATCACTGCCAAAGCCTACTATAATATATAATTTCTCATGTTTATATAAAGGAAACATTAATCAGTAACCAGATTGTGTAAAGGTATTTCTGCCTTAGAAGTATGTTCTCGGTGCCACACTGACCTCTGGCTTTACCCTGGCTCTCATCCTTCCAGAAACTGAAGTCAGATATTAAACACACAAGTTTGTGAGTGTGATCAGTCCAAGAATTACAGATCTTTAATGTCACAGTCAGTCTAATGCTAAACACAAAATTCAAACAGATCCAAACACACAAAATAAGCCTCTGTCTGCCCAGGACTCCAAGGATCAGTTTCCTTATCTCCTCCCTGATAGCTGATCCCTGAAGGAATTCCCTGGCTCTCTACCCTCTAATTAAACCCACTTCTCCCAAAGGACATGCATAGGGAAGAAACACATCCTAACTTAATTTTATATTTCTTTCACAGCAGTATTGTTTCAACACTGTAAATATATTCAGCTACACAATGGTTTAATATTTTTGAACTGACCTACAAACTTAAATGCCACATGTAACATTGTTTCTAGATGAAAATCCACTCTTGATATCAGCTATGTGCCTTACAAACTCGGGTTTGTTTGTCAAATGATCTGCATATAAAAATGAAGGGTTACTTTTTATATTAACCTGAACCTTTTCTTGATTGCTTTTTAGGATTCAAAGTTTTTATTTTTGACAGATGTTCTGGTCTTTGGCCGAACATCTTCCCTTCAAGAAAATCTCAACACGCAGGGGATAGTGTGATATTCCTCCTACCACTCACTGGCCCTCAGGATGTCAAGCTAACTGAACCACGTACCCTTCCCCTCACCAGCTCCTCCAAAGACAAGGTTCATGGTTAAAGTCAACAAATGCCAAGGCCTTGAGGTCCTCGTGGATGAGACGACTGCAGAAAAAGGCAATGTGTCTTGGGAGAGCTGGCCCTGGGCTCCAAGTGGTTCTGAGTGGATGAAAAGCTGCCCCATCCCCCGTGCATCTGTGGGGATCCAGTGGGAGAGGAAGTCTGGAATTTGTTTTTCACACCCAGCCTTCTAGATTTTAGAAGAAGAGAAAATTAAGTCCCACGCAGACTTGTCAACCTAAGTCTCCCTACCATACTTTCCACAGCAGAGGGTTGAAAGGGAAAATAAATCCATATGGAGAAACATGTAGATGCTGCCTACAAGATATACAATAATTTCACATAAAGATCTAATTAAAAAAAGGCTAACATTAAAGCCTTTTAACCAGGACCGAGAAACAAAACTACAAAAAGAAAAAGAAAAAAAAAAAAAAGATAAGCACACATTAGGGGGAAAACTGGCAATATTTATTACAACACAGCTTAAACTTCAGCACCAAAATGTTACTATGAAATAAAATTAAAACACAAGCCACAGATCTTTAAAGAAAATATTTATAAAGCATATAACCAAAAATATTGGTATTCAGGTAATACTGAGATTCATAATAAAAAATAAAAGAATAGGAAAATTGGCAAAGGAGAGAATTTGACAATCATAGAAACAGAAAACCCAAGTAATTAATAAAAATTAAGAAGCACAGCCTCTATATGCTATAACTGGGTATCATATATAAAATCACAATGAAGGAGCTAGAGATGGCTCAGCAGTTAAAATAACTGGCTGCTCTTGTAAATGAAGTCATACACTCATATACATAAAATAAAAATAATAAATAAAATATGCTTAAAAATCACAATGAAATACAAATTCACACTGTACAACTGGACAAAATTTAAGTCTCTGTTGACAATTGTCAGGGGTATGTGAAACAACCTTCATGCAGCTGTAATGACAATATTACAATTTGGTATAACCTATGTGGAGACCACTCTGGCCCCTATCTAGTGAAGTTAATAATTTGTGCGCTGCTTAATTTCCCTTCCTGAGTCTATAGTATATGTTCCCAAGGATATAAACAATAAGAAAATTTGCTGAAGATTTCTAACATTGGCACATTGAAAACAAATGCTGGGAGTGGCTCAGTGGTAGAGCATGTGCCCAGCATGCACCAGGCCTGGGTTGGATCCCCAGCACCATAGAAAAAGGAAACAACCTAAAAATCCATCATAAGCAAATAGACTTAGTTATGCAAATTAAGTGGAATTTTACACATAAGTTAAAACAAATGAATCACATGGGCACACAAGGCGGTTAAGGGATGACTCACACTACCATGCGATCCTTTATGTAAAGTTTAAGTATGCACATTTTTAAAAGTGAACCACGACTAGTGAAAGCTAATAGTTAAAATATCCAAGCCATTTCCAGAAATGGCAAAAAAAATTCATATTTTCAAGCAAAGAAACAACATGGATGAAATACATTGAGCAGCTCAGAGTGTCTCCTGATTCAAAGGCCAATGATTATGCACCTTCACCAAAACCCCTAATAAAATGCAAATATATAGCACTTTATAAAACCTACAATTCATCTAGCAAGTTACATTTTTTTAAAATCATACTATGTCCTTTATTTTATTTTTGCTCATAAATATTCCATTATGTTTCAGGTACACACATTACATTTGTACTTTTGTATTGGAATGATGTGTTTCTTCTGGCAAGATTATATAAGCAAGCAGTTTTCGTAAATTGAGTGATTAAAGATAAGGCAATCTTCCTACATTTGAAGTGAAACTATGTACTAATTTTTTTAGATCTGTTTCTGTCTCTGCAATTTTGGACTTTTGTTTCCTACCTGGAGACAACTGCTTTATAAATGTTTGACTGGATGTATGTGTTTATTTAATACTTAGAATTCTGCTGGGCTGCACTTTCATCAGGAAGGGAAGCACATAAATAAAAAGTTCTTTTCTGCTTGTAGCCACATTAAAATGCCATCCTTCATATTCAAAGATGACGTACCTGCTGTGGACTGTAATCTTTAGAGCATGTGATGCTGCACAGCCTAATGGGGAATTCCACAATGGCTCTGTCCACCCACTGTATCTGTGGAAACTCTTCCTTAATTTGAACTCCTGGCAGGACTGTTACTGTCAGCAGCTCTGTCTTTTAGAGACCTCATTGGCCCCATTCTGGATGGACATGCTTACCCAGGCGACAGTCCACCACAGGCATTTTTAACCCTTTCTTTAAGCTGTTATTCTTCTGGGAAGTAAATAATGAGTGACAAAAGGGGATCTAGGTATCACAGGCCATGTGAAGCAGTACAGGAGAGTCACACAGGCCTGTGGTCCCCAGAATGAGTCCTCTGGGAGGGCAGTATCAGCTTCACATGGAAACATCCAAATGGGAACTCTCAGGCCTTATTCCAGACCTATGACAGCATAATCTCTGCATCTACAGTCCAGCAATCTGGAGTGTAATAAGCCTTTGAGGTGAATTTGATGTACACTAAAATATGAGAACTAATAGATTGCAGAAAAAGCAATTAGAAATTTGTATAAGATGCTGAGAATAAGATAGAGTTTGGCACCTATATGAAAAAAGTTATTCAGGAAAATGATACCACACACATTCAAATACATCCACTTTATCAATATTTAAGAAAAATAATGCTCATTGTTATACCATACCATGACTCAGAGGAGATGCTAACAGTGACCAAAGGAAGAAACCTCTGATAGGCTGCATCCTTCAAGAGAGAAATGCTTCCTCCAGATGAAAACAGAAGAGAAAATAAATGCCTCTTATAGATGCAAGAAGTATGCAAGAAAGTCTAAAATATAGTTTGCATATAATTGTCAGGTGTTTACTGTGTGCAAATATCTATGGCACTGATATAGGAATACCTGTAACCAGATGTTGGATTAAAACTATAAACTTCACCCAGGTGTGGTGGCGCACACCTTTAATCCCAGCACTTGGGAGCCAAAGGCAGGTAGATTGCTGAGACTTCAAGGCCAGCCTGGACTACAGAGCAAGTTCCAGCCCAGCTGGGGCCACAGGGAGACCCTGTCTCAAAAAGACAAAAATAAAATAAAACAAAGTTCAGAGCAACAGGAATATTATAATTGTTTATATTTTTAAAAACTAACAAACCCAAACTTTTATGTATATTCATCCCTGAGATTAATGAGAAGTGATGAAAATAATGACAGAGGACTTCAGGCTTTACTCCATATTTGTCTCTACAGTGTACAGGTTTATAATAAGATGCAACTTTGAGTCACTTTAACATCTATTTAAACACAGAAAATTTAAAGAGGTCATTTAAAAATATGCTACAAAAATCCACATGCTGACAGGTCAAGACTAAAAATGTTGACAGAATTGTTAGATACAAGAAAAGCTCCAGAAGAACCAGGCAGAGTTTATTAT